CTAGGCATTTAACTTAAATTATATACAATTCGCAATAGTTTAATCAAACACTGAGGAAATGAACAAACATTTCGCAAATTAGACATCGTTATCAGATGACGAGCTGTTCAAATTGTCCTTCATTCGTCGAAGGCCTATGTCAATATACGGGGAAAGTGCAGAAACACACTTTCGACTTGGCGATTGATTAAATATAATACCATCACCTATAGAATATCTGTTAGTGAAGTCATCATTCATCCTTTCGCAAACCTTTACTTATTGCATTGGCTGCCCGTGCGATTCCGGTTACAGTACAAGATTTTGATGTATACATACAAGGCAATAAATCGAACAGCTCCTGAATATTTGCAGGAACTTGTCACCGTTTATCGGCCGTCACGATCACTACGATCGGAGACAGAGTCCTTGTTGTGCGTTCCGAACTCTCGGACTGTGACTTATGGTAACCGATGCTTTGGAAAGGTAGCGGCCACTTTGTGGAACAGCTTACCATCTGCTACTAGAAAGTCAAAATCTCTGGCCAAATTCAAGAGGGATATTAAAACCCACCTGTTTACGTCTGCATTTTAGACTCTCACGCAGACGTCCTGTATATACATACTTTCACCACTACTTACTTGATTTGGTTACTGTGTTACATATGTTGATTACTGTGTTATACATGTTCTGTAAATTTTGTAGTAAGATTATTATGTAATTGTGAAGCGCATTAGAGTATTTTGTCAAAATAGACAGTGCGCTATATAAATGTTGTATATTATTATTATTAAATCTGGGTAAAACAAGATCTACGGACGTCAATCTTCAAGAATTTATGTTAAAGATAAAACATACAAAGGGTCGTGAATGATTCAAACTAACATGATGAGTATATTACTATCAGGATGAAAAACACGCATGGTTTTATCACATTTGATATATAAGCTATCTTGGCTTTTTTCTAAATCTTTTCATGTAGTTGAATGTCAGGATCTTGTTTGAAGCAAACAATAGAAATTGAACTCAATTTGGGTTAAACATTGGACATAACCATCCTGGAGGTAGAACGACTGTCAAATCGAAAAAGGGGTAAATTATCGTTCTTCTATTTTTATAAACGTATTTTGACCAAGCTCGTTCTGAAGCATCCTTTGGCGAAAAAGAGCTAGGACGTAAATCTACAAACATTGTGAGCCAATCTTACAACCCCCGCCTCCTCTGAGCACAGTTTACGGAGTATAAAACGATAAACACAATAATAAATAGTTATAAATAGTTATAAATAGTTATAAATAGTTAAAAATCTAGAGCAACGACAGTTTTGATGAATTGGGATTCAACTTTATATAAATGGTGGGTCTCAATTCCTGGAGGCTGTAAAGTAGGAACACGAGTTATAAAAGAAAAGTGAAGGTATTGTGACAAACTTAGGTTCAAAACTTTCATGAAAGAAGGGTAAGCGGTCCTTGGGGCACGTAGTTTGAAGGATTGACTCAATTGGACCTATTCAGTCAATACTTTACATCCCTACATCTCGTGTAAAATCAAGGCGCTTTATGTTAATTTCTTTTTGTTATAAGCATTCTTCCGGAATCAATTTAGTATAATATGTGGTCCGAACCAAGGCTTTGATAGAAGGGCGGGGCTATTGGGCATACAGAAATAAGACTTTGAGTCCATCTTTTTTTAAAAAGGAATTTCATTTCGAATATCTCTGAGTTAAAGTGATGGTGCCCAATAAATTTGTTCGTTTATCTTTATCTATTTTTTTTTTTTTTTTTTATCTTTTTTCATTTATCTGAATATTAATTTGAATACTGAAATAATTTAAGGACATCGACATTTTTATTGTTTTTAAGATATTTCAAAATTTTCAAGAAAACTGTTTGGATATAATTCCTTCTTTTTACGTCCTCGATACTGCAGGAGTTACAATCACTTTCGCTCTCTCCATCCCATGTCATAGCAAACTCGAAGGTTCCATATGCGATACCTTGTGAACAAGACAAAAATATTGGTTTGATACTTTGATGTACATCAAACGAATCTCGAGGTCGCAAAACAGTATATTGTAATGGCTTTGAAGTTGAGTGTTGCTCCTTTGTAATCTTCAAAAGCAGCCTGTCATTGGTCAGGTATTTTTTCCCCTGGAACCAATCAAATTACTTTGCTTGTGCCTTCAATTTTTTGCATGAACTAATTTGACGTAATCATAATGCATCAAGGAATGCATGCCCACTGCTATTGATATAACTGCTTGTACAACCAATATACAAAAGATCGTAATTGAAAATTAACGCATTCCTGCACATGATCTCCATGGTTTTTATTTCATCGGGCAATAATCAATGAGTGAAAGTTTCGTCCGGCGTAAAAAGAATTTTCAATATCTAATATGATATTAATAAAATAAGGCTGAGCTCACGATGATGATGATGATGATGATGATGATGATGATGATGATGATGATGATAAGATGATGTAGACGTGATGTTAGTGATGAATGCATCAGCATGGTGGTGGTGGTGGTGGTGGTGGTGGTGGTGGTGGTGGTGCTGCTGCTGCTGCTGCTGCTGCTGATGATGATGATGATGATGATGATGATGATGGTTATGATAAGATGATGTAGACGTGATATTAATGATGAATGCATCAGCATGGTGGTGGTGGTGGTGGTGGTGGTGGTGGTGGTGGTGGTGGTGGTGGTGGTGGTGGTGGTGCTGCTGCTGCTGATGATGATGATGATGATGATGATGATGATGATGATGATGATGATGATGATGATGGTGATGATGATGATGTTGATAATGATGATGGTGGTTATGATAAGATGATGTAGACGTGATATTAATGATGAATGCATCAGCATGGTGGTGGTGGTGCTGCTGCTGCTGCTGCTGCTGCTGCTGCTGCTGCTGCTGCTGCTGCTGCTGCTGCTGCTGATGATGATGATGATGATGATGATGATGATGATGATGATGATGATGATGATGATGACGACGTAGACATGATATTGATAATGAATGATTAAGCATGATGGTGATGCGCTGCTGCTTATGATGATGAGGGTGATATAAGTATATCATGTATGTTAAAGTGAGAGCAAATTGATGTATAGTTGATGTACATGGTATGTATTTGAAAAGACTTGAAAAATTAAAACAAAATGTTCAGCTCAGCTGGTGCTCGTCTTATTGTTTCCAAAATTAACACTAAACAACTTCTGATGCGTCTACATATAATTGATGATCAGTAAACAAGCGATTGCTTTAAAATGCGATACATGTAACATGTAACATTGTTGGCATGTATAAATATCTGTATCGAATGATTATAATTGTATTTATGAAGCGAAACACTACTGAATTGTGTTATAAACATCACATTGATAACATTTAATAAGTTGTTTGAAGATTGTATATCAGACATAGTGCCCTTTAATACAACATAAATTAAGATACAGTAGAGCAAAATGATTAATTAAGCTGCATCATACAGCTGTTTCTTCCTTTTAGGACTCTTGATGCTAAATTTCCTAACGTTTGGTTAGAAGTATTTCTGGATTGATTTATTTCATTGAATCCCTTGAGGCAAATATATATTATCTTTCCACTTCTGTTTGGTTCAAACAATGGCGACCAACCAGGTGAGCGATACCGACCCAATGAGTCTCTCATATGTTTTATAGTAGCAGATGTTTTCATTTACTTTAACATCAATACAATACAGAATGAATACTGAACGATGTGATTACCACTTTGTTCCATCAAAATATAATGGCGATATTGCGTCCGTGGTTTCAATGTGACCTAAAGAATATTTTTAAGTTTACACAATAACGTGTGGAAATCATGAATCCAAACGAAATCAAAACAAGGATACCCTATGTTAAACTATCAAAGTCACATCCAAGAAGATGGTCTGTCGGCCACTTTGTTTTTCTGATTATTCTGAATCACAAGGGCACAACTAGGGACCAAAGGATAACTATAAATGAAGTCTGAAAAAGATTAATCCAGGACTTTTGAAAAAATGATAACTAACTTCCATAGAAAAAAATCTTAAGTCAGTCAGTTTGTTTTTCTCAACAGTTCAGAAATCACAAGGACACCACTAGGAAGCAAGGCGAACCTATAAACCAAAGTTGAGTAAGATCAATGTTGGAGTAGAAAGGGACAATATATACCGTTGTACGTTAGATCACATAACACAATGGAAAGTGGGGGGTTTAACTGATATTTCTAGCCTTCAGAAGACTGGACGTATGTTGGGAACGTCTTCACGTTAAACGCGTCCATTTATCAACATCCGCTGTTAAAATCATAGCTCTGTCTTAAATTCAAATTCAAAATGTTTTTTACTGATTTGAAACAGAGAACAATAACACCATTTGTCTCCAACACAACGTATTCTATTTAATCTGAACTTGTACACAACGTTCAAGCTATCATCGCGGACATATTCTGTTAAAAAATAATATAATGTTTCTTGTGCTTTTATCAACTTTTATTAACGTTGGTTTACATGAACAAATGATGTAGTGATAGCATATTCATATCAACAGTTACATGACATTAAGCCAACATTCAATATGAGTAGAATTGCTGAAAATTGATTAGTTACTGTCCCCAATGGTTTCACCATTGTATTTCTATGAGACAAATAATGACAGTTGTCTTACTCTCATTTTTCATATCATAGTTTAAGAACTCCAGCATGGATTTTCCTGTCTCAGTTCACATATTAGTGGATATATAACCCATCTGAAAGCAGATTGAGCTGAAAAATATCAACAACTCTATATCATGATAACAATAAAATGGTACATTCGCGATACATTTTACAAATAGTCGACCGTCGAATTTTCCAGCTGTTTGGATGAGGTACCAGTCCATCAACGCTTATGTATTTTCGGAGATGTCACTTGGGGCTTAATCTGTAGGTGGACGTACGTAGTAGCAGCAACACCCAAACTACTCAAAAGGTTAGTTCATGGACCGACCACTTTCGTCCCACTTTCAGTCAATATGCAATACGTTATGATAGCACTTCTCCCAGAATTCATCGTCGAGAAACGGTAGCATTTCCCTTGTGTCTCGAATGATATCTTCACTTTCACCTGCAGAATTCCAATACATCATCATGAAAATCAGGACATAAATGACTCACAGTGAGTCTGGGTGATGCACCTAAATTACTTTGTTGTATTGCTTTATGGTTCATTGACAATTAATACGACTTCATGCCAAATAAGTAAACTACGCTTACAAAAAATATTTCAAACAAAACTAAAACATTTTAACATCATAGTCTGCATTCAACGTTTTAATTTGTTCTGAAAACAAATGTATATGAACATTTTGAGGCTTAGAAAGAGACAAAGGACAAATAATGTGATCGAAAGAAAAGTCAAAATCTAGGACGAGAAGGTGCACTATCTCCATAATTCAATACATTTTGTAACGTCAATATATCAGATAATATGCGAAAAACATCAGGTACATGTGTATATTTTGAACCGTGCAACTATTTGAACAAATTAAACGTGACATGCTGGTTACGGGAACTACAACTTCAATAATGTCTACCACCTTCAATCTCGATTGCACAAAAGACCCACAAGTGAATAACATACTAACGACAAATGAAGCATTGGGAAAAGAAATTGAACATTTTGTCCAAGAAATAATGATGTTTAATAAAAAACAGTTTCATGTAAATGCGAAAGAATTTGAACATCAAAATTCAAATTACAACACTCGACTTTGCATGTATTTCGTAACACTTACCACTCAGCAACATGGTCAAGACCTCTAACGCTGTAGATTCTAACTCTGGGTGTGATCGTCTTCTTTTAAGAATGCACGTGACTGGATCCAGAGCCTCTGACCTTGAAAGGTCACACAATCTGATACCTGCACAAAGCAAATATTTTATTATTCTTTGTAATAACTTCCGTTCAATTTGTTTTAACATATCCCACTCTTTGTAAGAAATTTTAAAATACTTATTTTTTTTGTTTATTTTCCATTCGGACACACATTTAGGTTATTCGTTGTGATAATGAAAACTTTTGAAAAAATTATATACAAAATCTTAAAAAGCGTGAGAAGTACTGTTTCCAATTTGTACTAGTAGTTTGAGTAACATCGTCGAATTGTAATTAATGTTTGCTTTAAAACATTTTTTCTTTGTCAGCTGAAATAGGTTAATAGCATAGACATAGAATTGCAGGGTATGTACACATGACATTTGATGTATAAATCTATGTTCACATGTATAATTAAATGTGGCTATTAATTCAACAGTTAAGGAATCAGTGTCATATTAACTGAATTTTTGGATAGCTATAACGTAGCAGCTTTTGGGTCCGCTCAAGTGCATATCAGTGCTAATTAATAACCAGATAACGTAGTGGCCTCGCGCAGTCGTCACACCTGAGTGAAGTCAGCCGTGTGTCCTGTATCGACACCCATGTACAGTTAAGTTTCAATTATCTACAGGTAAGATTGACGAATAAAGTGAGTTGTTGTTATACGTACCTGCGTTCTATTGTTTTTTGAGTTTCGCATTACTGAACTGATTTTATCGATACAAAATCTTTGCGTTCTGTTCTGTCGTCGCCGTCTCATAAGCGGAAGGCGTTAACAATTAAAACCAAATACCAAACTATTTGTGAAGTAGACAATGATGAAAAGACTAAAAAGGATATTGCAGATAGCTTCGTAATTCCAACAACAACACTGGGTACAATTTTAAACAAATGAAATGTTTTAAGGGTGTGAAATCTCTACTTGTTGTATATAAGGCAAACACTAAAGCCTGGATGACATCTAACATGTTTACGGATTGTATTAAAACTCTGGATCGCCAAATGATAGCAAAAAAGACCCGTAACAAGATCTCAGACAGTAACAAAAAGCAATCTATTATTTTTCATTTTTTCAAGTAACTATTCGAGTTTTTCGGAAGCAATGTGAATTGTTGTTTATTTGGACATACTATGCATGTGTATATATAATCATGAAATAAGGCTCCTTTATTTCTAATGCATGTACAATTCCTATAACGAATTATGCGTGACTGTTTGCCAAAATTCGTTATTTGTGTATAACGAACTATGTGTATAACGAACTAAATTTCATGGTCCCTTGAAACCATCAATTGTTTGTCAAACTAAAATAATTGACAATTCAACTCTCTCTCTCTTGGGCCGTGAAGATAATAATAAGGGATTGAAGACAGAACTGGTATTTGCTCATACTTCTCAGAACTGTTTGATTAAATATCGATCCTCAACATCTTAGTCAAAGGTAACGCAGATCCGTGAGATTTCCTGGATATTTCCTGGATAATCTGGGACTTTGGGTGATCAGTTTAGTATGGAAGTGTTTTATATCCTACAGAACCGGATCTTTCATCGTTTACGTTTTTGTCAAGAAGGCATTTAAGGGAAAAAATTTTGTTCCGTCAATTTACTGAAATGTTTCATCCTCCAATATGTTACAATGATTTCCATTGCATAAACAAGGGATATCTAACGGTTTACCATTTAGTATCATATATATTTTATGAGCATGACAGAATATCTATCTTTAACGAGTACAGGACACAAGCAAAAACTATGGATACATTCTAACTTACTAATGAAATATAAACGATATGGGAAAATGAAAAAATTACCTTCCGTCACTAAAAGAAGCCAATCGAAAACATAAAACATAGCGGTGCCCAAAAAAATCTGGACAACTCACAGCGTTTTCTGACGTCAGATAGTTTACGTTACGCTTGATAAGAAGACGACGCCATTTTGAATTATGTTGTATTCTGTCATTTTATACAAACATCTTCCAAGAATCTCTATAATACCTGTCTTTATATACCACATTACATCAATCCAGAAATGATCATGAGAATCACTTGCTTGGAAATTCATTTAACGTTCGCTTCATTTGCTTCCGAGCATGAAAATCGGCGGATTTCTACGCAGTTTCTAGAAAGCCAAACTGGTTGATTACAACAACGAAAGTTATACCATCACTGGAAAAGAGATAGCACCATATAAAGTTCCTTATATCATCACAAACTGATCATTTAATATATTTCACTGGCACAGATTTAATAAAAAGGACGGACTCACCCTCTTTACCGACTGCAGACAGGATGTTACAGCTGTAAATCTGGAGTTCCACATTTTCGGGGTACCGCTTCATCATGCGACTAACAAACTCAATTTCCTTTTGTAATCGATTTGAATTTGTGATTCCTGGAATCCAACAAAACAGTCCAAGAAAAGATTTGTCTGAGAAGAGCGAAGAATATAATACTTTCATATCTCAACGGCATATAAAATTAATTTGCATTTCACAATGTGAAATTTGTATTGCAGTTTGCCTCATTTTGATGTTATATCGTTTTAATGATAAGCACATTTCTTACTGTTTTCTTAAGAATGAAGGGAATGTTACCGTAAGTATTGGAAAATGCAGGCTGTCAGCAGATTTCGATGACGTAACAATCTCCTAATGCAACCACGTAGTACAGAGTGTAAGATACATATTCCTACTAAGATAATTAATATAATCTAACATTCCATCTGAACTATGACCTCTTTACCATTCCAGAGAGACATTGGACCTGTGATCAGTGCTCAATTACATTTCCTCTTGTTTTACAAATAACTACAATCTGATTTTTATATTGACCGTTGACTTACCAGTGTGGGTTATACTGTCCAGCGCCATCAACCCAACAACTGCTAGCCCCTCATCATCAGGATGCTCGCGCAGGTTCGCCATCATCACGTCAAGACCCCCTTTTCTCAGAATATAGTCCTTCAGATTTTCTGTCAATATCAACTTTAACTATATAACATACCGAAACGTATTTACTGGCAATCATGTAGTTATCATTACTAAGAAAAAGATAAATGATAAACACAGTAATTAACTTCATGTTAAAGATTTAATTATTTGCTCACGAACTAAATACCAGGTACCCTTATTTTACTTCCCTTATATCTTTAAAGAATATTCGTGAAAATATTCGATTCTATAACTTACTTTCGTTTTATCAGTTACAAGTTTAAAATACGGATCCTTTGACATGACGGAAGTATCGGGCTGATAATCATGACGTCCATTAGTAATTTTTGGCAACATCCAATCTGCTTCTTTTTCAGTTGTAAATGGATGATTCCAATATATTAACCCCAGATTATATAATCAATAATCCAGAATATTGCATGCAATATGCGAAAGGCAATTTACCTCTAAAACAGACACAATTACGGTAAATGTCAATTAATTGGAAGGTTATCACTTTCATGACATATGTAAAATGACGACACATGGCTAGAAGTGCCCGTATTTACCGATATACCAATTAAAATAAGTTACACTGTTAGGTGACTTACCATTGTGCTCCGTGAGGTAAGAAATGGCACCACAACACACAGTTTGTATACTGCTGCAAGCATGAAATATCCTCATTACGTCAAGGACGAGGCTCACACATAACTCTCCATTCTGAACCGAACTGTTTTTGTCTACAAATATGAATAACCTTATCTATATATCAAAATAAGTTTAGAATATTCACATATACATGTACTTCCTTTCAAATAATTCCATATTGAAAATTAACAAATCTATTTAATTTCAGAGTAAATGCACGTTCACTATGGTTTTTGATATTCCTGACGGCCAAACTTGTAACACAAGATATAAAAAAATTTAGGTTGATGAACGTGGAAGTTTTACGGTCTTTATACTGACCTCATTGAGAAATATTCTATTCGTTTGCGTGACATCAGGCTTGACATGTTTGATGCTCATTAGTTTGCCTGCAGGTTCCGTTGTTGTACAAATTGTTCCCATTTATTTGAGAACTTGACATGAATTACTTAGATTGACCAGAATTTACATGGCCGGGTCAACAATGAAGAGAAAACACATATTTTGGATCATGATTGTGTTGATTTGTTGGTATTTTTCGTGATTTTTCTTTCTTTTGGGTTCTTATAGAAGGACAAACAGCTACGTATATTTGTAACTGTTTTACATATTTGCATATGATGAAGGCCATTTCATTATTTGACTCTGTTGTAACTAGCTCTAAATTTGGATTATGTTATACTGTGTTTCTTTTGTACACTATTAAAAACAGTAAACACAACAACAATAACTTACACATGGAAATGGCCGCTATCGTCTTGCATCCAGACATCTGTATCGTCTTGTCGTCCTTGAAGAAGGTCATGACGTCAGCCAATCGGTCTAGGTAGTTCCCTTTGGTAAAACGGGATCGACCAGTGTCTGTTTACGGAAGAAAAACGAAAGACTGTAACGTTCCTGATGACGTGATCGTTGATATTCAATGAGTTTGATTTGCAAGGTCTTACATTTTTTCATATGTTCTCTTAACTATGAAATTTATCATTCAGCGCCAGCACCACACGTGCGTGGAATCAGTGATTATTATGGTTTCGCCTTTATGTAAACGACTCTGTTTTACATTGATTATAAAATGAAATACGTTTATTATTAAGTAACAACATGAACTTCTATTACTTGTAACAAAAAGAAGTTAATCTTATTTCAATCTGTACGAAAAGGCCAAGGTATCAAAACTATCAAATATGGCGTTCCATCATATCGTAAGACAATAAGAAATCTGATTTTAACGCAGGCAGATTCAGAATGTATTCGCTTCACGATTTTTGAATGATGCTCCGGTATAACAATTTCACACATCGTATTTTTCGGGGGCTGAGCATCAACTTAAACTAAAGTAAATTTATGTACTAATGGATATCAATAAATAATGTTTGCCTATTTAATTAAAAAATGACGGAAATTTTGGACGAAGTTAAAAATAAATCTTACAATGCATCTACTGTGGAAAAAATGTAAATTGATGTAAATGACATGACATGTTTTTGTCCTAAAGATGGCTTACCTGTTAGAACGAGATTCTCGTAATAATGACAAACTGAAATGTGAAGATCGCTGTCGCCATGGAAACGGTTTAATGTTTCATAAAGAATATCCTCGGTGGCGTCTAGGCATGTCTCATCTATTCCTGATATGTTAAACAGAACGCAATTATTACAACGTCAATTTAAATAAACATTTTGTCCGAAGTAAATGAAAGTAAAAAATATCCCAGAAAACGAATGAGACATTCAGATTATATATTTGAAGAAGATTTGCTACATATTCTACAACCGAAAACAGTACAATAGTTGAGCCACTCATAATAAACTGTTTCTGTGTTTAGCAACCGCTTATTTAGATGTCTTTTTTTTTCAATATTTAACTTTACTTAACGTATATGACGTCACTTCCGGTACGTACCAGGAGCTAAAGGAACATTAGCAAGGATTCGGCAGGCGTAGCGATGGATGTCGTGGTGTTTCCGGTATCGGTAGATGATAGACTCCATAGCTTCAAGTCCCTCATCCTCCATAAAATAGTAACTGGCATCATCTAAATTACACACAAACATTGAATTATAAGCCGACAGTTTACCCTACTGCACTGAATGGTCATTTAAAAAATACTTAAGGTCGGGATTTATTTTGGTCCAGAGGTGTTACAATAGCTGCGTTGCCCTTAATAACTCATAGCACTGATGGTATCAAAGAAAACTTTTCAGCCATAATACCATTATGTGTATGGACTGTTATGTATTATTGTAAGGAATGTAACTTATACGTCATCTAGGTCTCCATGATGTGTTGAACATTTTCTTTTGGTAGGTTTGACTTCCTTGTGATCATTAAGTCTTCCTTGAAATTATCAATACTTCTATGTGATCGTATGTCACATTGGTATGTTCCTTAACGTATACAGGCTACCATGTAGTCTGAACTGAATTGGTATTTTAAAAAAAAAGATCATACAACGTGTTTTACAGGAGTCAAAATATGCAGGTTATGAAAATTGGGAAATATTCTATTTCTTTGTGTGATATGCAGCTGGACGTGTTTTTGATATTCGTTAGCTAGTTGGTTCCATTGTGGTATACCTTGTTCTCATTTGAGAACGTGGCATTATTTACTTGGATCGACCAATATTTACATGGCGGGTGTCGTCGATGAAGCAGAAGACGCTTACTATTCCGGAACTCCATGTCTAAGTCCAATTGCCGGAGTCTTCGAGTAAATTACAATTTTATTGAAATTGAGTCTGGATCTATGCTGACATGTTGATATTTTCTTTGTATTCTTCTGTCGTAATTTCATTGAATTTATGGTTAAATATTTTTTAAAGATTTTGTTTGTGTCATGACGTTTTTTGCCAATATTTGTTTGCCTTTCCAAATGGCATTACAGTTTCTATATTAATGGACCGATATCAACTCAAACTGCAAAGGCAAATTCATCCTACATCTATATCACGTTACAAAGAAAACAATAAGCGCTATCCATTCGCCACTTACCTCCTCCCATCAGGTTACACAATGTTTTAAGTCCACACAGCACTATGTCTGTAAGGGCCGTCATCTCCTTAATAGTTGCTAGCACTGCGGAAACGCCAGAATTAGCCGCCACCTTGGTTTTGTTTTCAAGCACTGGTTTAAAATTCATAGAGGTAGCATATTACACCACTGAAATCATGACACCTTGGAAACGTTATATTATGTGGCTATAAATTATGTATAGGGTTACTGCTTGGTGAATTGGTTTTCTTGCGAACTTAATTTCACTATTTTTCAAAGTTTAGAAACTTTTCAAACGAAACACCCTAATAGGAGAGGATGTGGATTTGTCACACAAAAGAATAGAGAGTTTCATTAGGACTTTAGCAATGATGTATACAGTATATATAACATGTATTTTATTTTGGTATAGTATTATTTTATAAGTATATATTTGTACGATATTTTTGTTTCGTCCTCCTAGGACTGTTCAGCGATGCTACGAGTCAAACGCACAGTTCAGAGGAAAATGCCGCACAATTTAAATATGTCAAAATATCTTTTAACATATCAATCTAAAGTGGGATATAAACATCTAATAATGGGTAGTTTGGTATAGGTTTGTTCACATTGTCATTCTGTTACGTTTACTTAGAGTGAATACCTACCGTCTGCCGTGATGTTTGTTAACGCCATACAACCGTACGTCTGTATCTGCTCGTGGCGATCATGTGTCAACATGGCGGATATGACAGCCTTTGATCCCCCATCATTCTCAATCAACTTCCGAAGTTGCTCTATATAACAGGATTTGTATGGTTAATGTCCAGCGGACATTTTAGGAAACAAACAATGAAGAGTATTCCGTATGCATCAAACTTAACACATTGTACTCAGCTAGTCAGAATATAGAATAATAAGAAGTTTGGAAGCGAGAATTGGTGTTTTGAAATAAATTGTCACTTTGATAAACAAATTGATTTATTTTGATAAACAATCACTTTAAATCAGTTCCAGAATTCACTATCTCAATTTTGATATGGTAACATTTACATACCGTTGACGGCAACATTTCCCAGGATTCGACAGCCATGTTCTTGCAGTTCCTGGCTATCCGGAAATGACGTCATTATATTAACAGCTGAACGCACGCCCCCACTCCGCACTAGTTTTTCCTGCATCTCGCCTGTTAGATTATACGTAAATATACGTGTAACAAGCGGTATCTCTAGGTAAGAACATAATAAACACAAATATTGAAATAAGATGTTATTGGAAATATTAATCAGGAATTAGTCGCATCGACTACTTGTGTATTGGTGGTTTAATGAACAAATAAAACTAGCGCTACATTATGATAAATGATGACCAGGCCCCACTTGTATAAAAACATCTCAACTTGAGATTTCCTCAAGTCGAGATTTTCCTCTGCTGATATCTCCTCAAAAACGGCTTGTATAAAATTTTCTCAAGGAACAGGAGGAAGTCCTCGGCTAGGATGTCCTGAAATTCCTTGAGGAATTTTCATATAAGATATTTTCAAGGAGATATTAGCTGAGGAAAACCTGGGTTTGAGGAAATCTGAAATTGAGATATTTGATACAAGTGGGGCCTGATGCCCTCTCATTTAATCTAAATTATATCTTAAGTTATCATTTAATCACAAAGTCCAATAGTTTTGACATTTGTTATAAAATCTTTCTTTATAAATTTTTACAACACCACATTGGCCAATCAAAAATATCGTTACTAAATAACATATTTTTTTCTCTTTTCGTGTTATGTGATGATAACTTAAAAAACTGGTGAATTATTATATTTTTCATGGACGATTGATAAAAAAGCAACAAATTAACTAACTCTATAGAATAAAAATCATCAACATAACATACGAGTCGGTGACTCATTTTTATTATGTATTCCACAAGCAATATAAAACGAAATTTGTTTATCATGCTGTTCAATTATATAAACTCACCTGACGTCATAACAATCTGACCAATGGCGAAGAAGATTTGGTGTTGTATTTCTAGGTTGTCAGGGAACTGACACATGGCGTCGGTTACAACAGTGAGCACTCTATGATTGATAATGTGTGTTAGTGTTTGTTCTGTAGGGAAAAAAGTCATAAATTTATCGTAACTCCAAATCAATAATCGTAGTAAATGAAAAATTCCAAGACCTGGAAAAATAGTTTTCAAAGATAGTTTTTCATGAAATCTACTAAATTCAACATTTTTTTACTGTATAGTTTTCTCATGTAACGTACCGGCATATTCCATAGGCGTTAGGGGTTATATATTGTGAAAATATGGTAAATTCTCATTGTCCAGAAAAACAAAAACTTAACAAACTGGAAAACACGATGAGCTGTAAAACATAAGCGCTTTCATTTCTTCTTCAGATATATGTATATATATATATTGTCCGTTTATTTTTTTGTCCGCTATCAGTGAAATTGGCCAAAAAAGTATATATCATTGCAGAGTGATAGCTTGTAGATGCCGATGCTAGACATGTATTACTTCAGCACTAGTCAGTGTGCTTGTTATATATATTTTTGTTCTGTTTTATTCATATGTATATATATTGCTAGTATTGTAACATTCTTTGTCGTTACCATATTACTTATATTAGATAGTGGAGAAGCAAGAGACTTTTACCATTTGCCGATAGGTTACTGATTGTCCAGCAGCCGTATTCTTGTAAGGCTTCTTCCTTCCGGAATCTCTCTAGAGTCATCAGTATGGTGTCTATACCGTTATTCTTACAAATGTCAAGACAGGATTCCTCTGAAATGGTATTTGACTGTGATAATTGATCCTACTTATACTTCCATACTTTTGATTCTGATTTAAACATATTTTATTGCACAAAAGTAGCAATAGGATTGGGCACAGATTTTCACACTTCTGTGATGCCCTTTCCAAACATAACCATAGCCATGGTGATTTAATTACATGCTAGGTTTGGATGGTGGAGGAAAGCAGTCGTTCCCGGAGAAAAAACACCAACTTGCAGCAAGTACTTGGTGACTGCGCATGTCGGCCTCAAACCTGCGACCCATTCACAGTCAGGGTCGTTTTGACGCGGATTTCCTTGTAGTAATTGATTGATTAACACACGTGAGACACGTCACATGCCATCCAGAGTAATTTGGGTTCAGTATGTTACCTGAGGACACACCCACGACAATCAGGGGCTTCCATAGAAAGAAAAAGCCCGGGCTTACACATAAAAAGATCCCTGCATAGAGTATGTCCAACAAAATTACAAAACTAAGGTTGAATAGAAATATCTAATATTTTTGATAAATAAAAAAATATAAGTAGAAAATCGTTGAATAATTAGGCCTAGTGCATTGCTTTCCGGAACTTTATACACGTCATACTATTCTAATTCTTACTATCATTTCAACGTTTCCGATTATAATGTTGTTTAAGTGCAAATTTTAAAATGAAGAAGGCTTCTGGATTACAGACGTCGATCAACAAGTTTTTAAAACAAAAGAAAGTCGAATCGAGTGGCCACACTAAAAGTGACACATCAAAAACCGAAGGTACATGTTACCAAGATACGGAAATTGTCATGGACATTTTCGCGAATCAACAGAACAGAAAGTTAGCTTTTATTTAGTCAGGAGTTGAAAGTTTGTCGTTAAATAAATAAACAAAATCTGTCTCAGAAAACGATTCAAAACATCTTTGAAATCATGAAATTCATTTTCCGTCCGGGGCCTTCGCCCCCCTGATCCCCCAACCAGGGCTCTGCCCTGGACCCGCTGGGGGCCTAGGCGGCCCCCGGACCCCTCGCCTAGGCTTACACATTTCTACTGAGCTAGCCACGCCCCTGACAGTGCAGTCTGGCCCGTTTCTCAGCTTCGTTAGAGATACAAGTCACAACGGGTATAAATATATACATTCAGAACTTCCTATCTTCACCGGCGATTGCGTAGGTCAAAGTTTTACAAGCCATCGTGGTCCCTGTTTAATACCTAACAAATCAGTCTGCATGCTTCCTGAATATTTCACCAATTACTTCATCACCGTCGAGAAAAGCATGATCCTGTTTCCTGGTTACATAAGCATGGGTCAACAAACTATTCGCTTTAGATAATACCACAATGTATTTATAGTGTTATTGCTATTTTGGTATGACGTCATTCAACCAATTTTAGATCCTGCGGACAGTCGTTTTGTCACGTTCAATAGTATACTGCACAATCTGAAGGACCAAATCTTTTATCTTATATCTGAATTAACATTGGTATAAAATGCAACAGGATTTTTTAAATGTTTACGACAGTTTTAAGTTATTATCAAGATATATTGTCAGTTCCGGGTCCAGGATTCCGGAAATGGGCGGGTCAATAAAATGTCTAACTCCATAGATAAATGCATTACGAGAATGAATAATTGTGGAAACGAAACTGTATTGTTGTTAGTTTTCACAATTTCCTGTGAATTATGTTTGATCACGGTTAATTTTCAATTGTTGGTAAGCAAACTCTGTAATCGGGAGTTTGGCCGTGGTATTGTGACTACTGTTATATTAAAGCGACAATACATGAGTGTGGTCCTGGTAAAGTCCTACGTAATTGTTCCCAGTATGTACCAGTCTTTTCCTGCGTCGCTCATGTTCGATTATTTACGTACCTACAGTAAGCTATACTATGCATAATGTGAATTTATTTTGCTATGAGATTTTAAAATGTTTGTTTTTATGTTTAAGCAGCTGTGAATCCGGTGAAACGACCCTAAATTAATTGTCGAGGAAACAATACAAAGAATAATGAAAATGAACAATAACATCCCCCCCACGCCCTCCCCGGCCCCCCACGTCCTCCCCGGCCCCCACCCTGCTTACCAATTTGTATGACTAAAAGATGTGAATTTAGTTACCGAATTTAGTGAGACACGCTAGTGCCCAGCATCCACATTCCTGCAGAGTATCGACTTCCGGTGCTGCTGCCATAGCTACTAAAACCGCCTCTACTGCGCCTGCGTTAACCACGTCCATGCAGATCTCATCTGTACCAAAAGACAATCACTTCTGTATATCAAGTAGCCTTATTTTGTATTTTTAAAATGTCTCTAATTTAACATTATTCACATAATAGTTTGCTGTTGGCTTTGCTCTTTGGTCAACTCACCATGGGCAGAAAAACATCCAAGAGCTCGGCAGCCGTTCTCTAAGACTTCGGCATTTGTCGGGAACCTTCGTAAAGCTTCGATGATGGAGTGAACACCGCCAACAAACATAATTGACTGAGCAACATCAACTGTTGAAGAAATAATTGTCAAATGTTATACAACAAATTTTAAAAGTGTTATTTGAATGATGCTAATCTTTTTTCATCAGTTCTTCTATTCAAATAACCGCTTATTTATCAGACAAAAATATATATGTACTATCTGTGAATGCTGATAATACCTGAGTTCCCATAATTATCAGGACCCAGTCACACTCCAGAACGTACCTACCTGTATTTACGAGATTTCCTAGGATAAAACAACAAAGTTTGGCAACATTGTAATCATCACGCTGACAAGACATCTTCGCGAGGATTTCCGAATGACCTGCATTCTTTACAATTTCTTCTGAAAGCTCTTCTGTAACACAAATACATAAATGACAAAGTTTTGCTTAAATTCGGTCTGGTCACTGTCTAGTAAGTGATACATAGATAATTAATTAAAGGGAAGTAACCATGCATGTTTCACCGAATTTACAAAAAGGTAGATAATCATTACAAAACAGAAATAAAAACAAGTATTTATTGAATAAATGTAACACTCATTCTCAACACTCCTATAACACTCGTACTCAACACTCCCATAACACTCGTACTCAACACTCCTATAACACTCGTACTCAACACTCCTATAACACTCTTACTCAACACTCACATAACAATCTTACTCAACACTCCTATAACACTCGTATTTAACACTCCTATAACTCTCGTACTCAAATCCTATAACACTTGTACTCAACACTCCAAAAACACACGTACTCTCCTAAAACACTCGTTCTCATACATACAAAGGCTATCTATTAAATGTCCACAGCTGTTGACAGGACGGTAAATAGTTTCAACCCTTATAGAACATCCAAATAAATTTACCAGTTAATGAGATGTTGCCGAGAATTTCGAGGACTGAAGTGAGGATGTGGGTATGGTCTTCGTGGGTACGGATGACCCGGAGGAGCGTGGATATTCCATTTTCACGACACATCTGTATACAACTGGCCACTGTGATGGACAGAAACGTTGTAAAACAATTAATAAAAACAGAAATTGGCACCATTTTATCTAAAACGAACACTCATAATTTACTTGACTTCAAATGTGCAGTGAAAGTCGCCTTGGTAAACCGGAAAGATGTTGTAACATCATTGTGTAGCTATGAAATCTGATTGAAAAATTACGTAACTTAAATTGCACCCTGTCTAACACAAACCATTGTTACATTATTGTAAGTAACAATGAAACGCTAAACGAATCATGAACGTGATGTAAATAACATTGTAACGTGCCCATTAACGTGACATCAGTAACAGCGAAACGTGCCTAACGAACCATATACGTGACGTAAGTAATACTGAAACGTGTCTAAATGTACCATACACTTGATGTAAGTAGAAGTGAAACGTGCCTAATGAACCATATACGTGATGTAAGTAACACTGAAATGTCTCTAAATGTACCATACACTTGATGTAAGTAGAAGTGAAACGTGCGTAGACGAACCATATACGTGATGTAAGTTAAATGTAATAGTGACACTTGAAACTTGAAAAGAAAAGATGTGTAGGTCTTCAACTACTGTTCTGTCGTTTGTGCAAATGGCAATGCAGTTATCATCCAGGCCCTGGTTACCCCAAGGTTAATTGGAGTTTTAAAAAAGTCAAATTGTTGCCACTGATAAAAACAAAAGCGATATAGGCAAACCAGCACCTGAAAAGCATTAGTCTGGCACCTCGACAAATTTATATCCAGGAAATCATAACTAACATTCTGTTTCATCAAAGTTTCAAAATTTTACTAACTAACGGTTACATCTGTATCATTAACCACAATGGTGCTTGAACGTATGACTTACCCGAGTTTGTAGATAAGGCAACTAGAGTTTTACACGCCGCCAGATGGAGCTCTGTTTTATCCATAAATTTAGACATTGCTTCCACCATGAAGGAGATAGCTTCCTGTTTCTTCATCAGAACCTCAATATCATCTGCAGAAATAAGAGGAAATTAAAAAATTCTGTTCAATGCATTATATGGAATATTAATATGCATTTGTTAAAATCATAAACATTATCATTAAAGATACATCATAAAACTAATGACGTAGGTCTATGTTGAAGAATTATGTATTGAACACCTAGAGGCTAAGTACGTAAGACTCAATGTAACGAAATCACTATCAATAAGCAATATAAAATGCATATATATACATGGACAATTAGGACTCTCGCGAATCCTTTAGAAGATATCGGGTAGGTCTCGGCGACAAATCTTATTTCAATTTTTCCAACATTTTACCGGTGCCGTTTTGTAAAAAGGCCCACCGTTGTTGTCCCTATATGTACGAATGGAAAGCCAGTTAATGATATAGAAGTAAATATTTACCGTCATCGGCGAACCTCTCCAAATCCACGCACGCCTGTATCTGACTCTGGTAGTTGTTGGACTCCGCTTTCATCGTACTTATGACGTCACTAATTGATTTTCTTCGGACGCCATTGTTGTTCGACACGGGCAATTTGTCTGCAAAGTATTAATATAATTAAAAATAAAACAACAATTCGATGGATCTTAATATTTCGCTGTTCCCGATTTGATTCTATAAATTGTCCGAAGAAACTGGAACAAGAAAATTATATAAAAAAAAAATGATAAACTACTTACGTTATTGAAGGACCGGATGAAATATCTCAAAATAAATCACAACGTTTTGTTTTCTTTTGCCTCTTTTAACAGCGAGGTTCATGGTTTGGTTTATATCTTATTGTCGGAACACCACTAGACTCTGCTCTATCGATTGAGTCCGGAGCAGAGTTTCGTTAGTTTTCCGACGATGACCTTTGACCTGTTACATTTCCATGTTTACCCATCGTAAATCATGTGACTGTAGACGAATGCTTGAAATCCTGTACAAGTCACAGACAAGTTTGTTTTACAAATTCACCTACCCTGGGGTGACATACTGTCTTGTGCTTTCTCGTTTTCTGCAACCAAGTATTTGGTATCGTCAACTGAAAAAAAAATAATTAAAATCAAATAGTCGTTTGAAGAAAGAAAGAAAAAAGAGAAAGAAAAAAGAAAGAAAGAAAATATGAATGAAAGACAGAAAGAAAGAGAGAAAGAAACTACGTGAATAAGACATCGTCAGCTTGACGGAAAACGAAATAAAATATTTGTCTTATTATTGCGAAACATATAAAAACAACGACAAACAGAACAGAAGAAAAAAATAAGCGAAGAGAAGGTCAAACGCGCAGGATATTAAGAAATAAAATGAACGTCCGACGATTACCTTTCACTCAGAGAGTACATTCCTTTCTGTACCAAGATTACGTTACCTGATGTGTTGTCGGAACCATCGGAATTCCAGTAATGAAATATAAAGACGTTTTCAAATTGCCATGATGACGTCACACACAGACACGTGACAATTCACTGATCCAGTATTGTTTTTTGTTTTTAAGTTTTTTGGGACATGTTTCGAGCTGTAATGTCGCTTAATCTCGAGTTCGTGAGATACGGAAAGTGGATGAAGTCGAGATTATCTCACAGCTTCTACATAATCGCCAAGAAGGCGGCAGCTTTATAAGTCTTATCTGATAATTTTAATCACCGTCTTCAATAGGTACAGTGTAGTCTGTTTCATCTCCAATTTCTCATACTCAATTTGTTGTAGATAAAACACTATCTAGCCCAATGCTGTGTATAAGTCATTTTATAACAAAACTGAAATAAAGCCTAAATTTCGTCTCTACTTTTTCATACTCATTTTTGTTTGCTACAGTTGACAAAAATGTGTAGTCCACTGTCGTTTATTAGTCATATTAACTTGGGGGGTAAACCTAAATTTCATCTCCGTTTTCTTAAACCCATTATGTTGCTACAGTAAACTATATTAAAACGGAATACACCAAAAAATCTAGCACGTTGATAGTAGAATATAAGTTCTTATAACACAACCAGTAGAAGATTAGAGTGTGACGATAACTACACGGTCACCTTCATCTTATAACACAACCAGTAGAAGATTAGAGTGTGACGTTCGGATGACTACACGGCCACTTTCATCTTATAACACAACCAGTAGAAGATCAGAGTGTGACGTTTTGATGGTTACACGGTCACCTTCATCTTATAACACAACCAGAAGAAGATTAGAGTGTGACGATGACTACACGGTCACCTTCATCTTATAACACAACCAGTAGAAGATTAGAGTGTGACGTTCGGATGACTACACGGCCACTTTCTTCTTATAACACAACCAGTAGAAGATTAGAGTGTGACGTTCGGATGACTACACGGTCACCTTCATCTTATAACACAACCAGTAGAAGATTAGAGTGTGACGTTTTGATGAATACACAGTCACCTTCATCTTATAACACAACCAGTAGATAATTAGAATGTGATGTTTTGATGACTACACGGTCATCTTCTTCAGACAAATGACCAGTGTGGAGCATACTAGTACTAACGTATCCACTAAGGATGAAAGATTCGTGACGAGATGGTAAGGAATCGACCAGCTTTTTCGGTTGTACTATAATCCTATGTTCACCAAGGTCGAGAAATGTGTGACGAAATGGTAAGGAATCGACCGACTTTTTCGGCCGTACTATAATCCTATGTACACTAAGGGTGAGAAAGGTGTGACGAGATGGTAAGGAATCGACCGACTTTTTCGGCTGTACTATAATCCTATGTACACTAAGGGTGAGAAAGGTGTGACGAGATGGTAAGGAATCGACCGACTTTTTCGGCTGTACTATAATCCTATGTCCACTAAGGTCGAGAAAGGTGTGACGAGATGGTAAGGAATCGACCGACTTTTTCGGCTGTACTATAATCTTATGTCCACTAAGGATTAATAAATTGTGACGAGATGGTAAATATAAAATACACCAGATGGTAGCAATGTACTAGCATATACATTAATGATCGGTTTGAAATGTAGTTCTTTTACATTAACACTTTAAAATATCGATACTAAGTATAGGGCGCAAGAACATAACTGAAGTGTTGAACATAATTGAAGTGATTAACATAACTGAAGTGTTGAACATAATTGAAGTGATTAACATAACTGAAGTGTTGAACATAATTGAAGTGTTGAACATAACTGAAGTGTTGAACATAATTGAAGTGTTGAACATAACTGAAGTGTTGAACATAATTGAAGTGATTAACATAACTGAAGTGTTGAACATAATTTAAGTGTAGAACATAATTAAAGTGTTGAACATAACTGAAGTGTTGAACATAATTTAAGTGTTAAAAGCTGGTAGATACTACCGTACCTCTAGAAACTAAGACTATGTTTAATTCTAGAAATGAAACTCGACCTATATGACTACAACCCGCTTACTCAGAATTAAAGATGTTATACTCCACACAATACTCCCCCCACTCTCTTATATTCCACACAATACTCCCCCTACTCTCCTCTCATTCAACTGTTCTCCTCACCCGATGTATACCACGCTACGTTTCTACATTGCGTGGACAGCAATGGGAAGAACTGGTCAACTCTATGTGTGTTAAAGCAAATCATATCTCGTTTTTCCATAGATCCGTAGCTGTATGGTTTAAGAATTTTTAGTCGGGAAGTTATGTCATTTTTTTTTTTGATTTTGCTGGGGGATGTTTTACCCAAATCATTCTAATCGATTGACCAGAAAAAATACAAGAAAAAATCTTCCTACCAGAGACGTATAATGCTGACCGTGTTCGTACATGTAAGAATTATATTTGTGAGGTACACGAAGAGAAATGACAGACGTTATTTTAATCAAATTTTTGTTAAACTGACCAAAATAGCACTGTAGTTGACGTGCATGTGACTCAGTGTCTGGATAATTCCAATAAATCCTGCGAGCAATATATGTGTTATGGAGATATGACAGACGGGTAACGAGGACCAAGTTCAGTGTGACAATAACACCACTAAAACGTCCAGGTAAACATCATTTATCAACCTCACGTGTTTCTAAGCTATGCGACAGAAAACTTTCGACAAGCTGTTTTATATCTGAAGATTTAGAAACCTGTTGTCGAGGTATCTAAATAAAGAAAAGAAGGAACGTATAGTGATTATGCACTGAAAACAACTAGAACGAAGGTTAAATACGTGTTAAATATAGCGTCCAGTTTTGATCTCGGGGATTTTCCGCATCAATCTAATTCTATAAATACGTCACAAAGTACACGATAATGCTACAAATATCCTAACTGTTGGTTAAAATAACAGAAATTCGCCCATTTAAAAAGGTGTTCGACTGATAGAACATTTCCTTATTTAGATTATAGTGATTAGGAAATAGATCAATCAATAAATGTGATAAAATATGAATCTATTAAGTGAACTTGTTATCATTATCTAAATAATAGAGTTGTTGTGATGTTTTTATTCGTGAACTTTTCACTACATTAGCAAAATATCGCATCACTCTACCACTGAACGATATGGTGAGTGGTTTAATACGTCATATTAACATGAAATACAAAATGGGAACATGTTTAAAACCATCAAAAACGAAATCTTATTTCAGCTATCGCCACTTTGTCTTTCTGGGTTATTTACATCGATCAATAACAATTTATTTCAACAGATTAAAAATCTTATCATCCTGTTATCAAATGAAGACTCATTTTTTGTTTTTTTGTTTTTGTTTTTTTTTTTTCTTCTTTTTTACGGATTTGGCACCTGTGTAATATACCATAAAGCGTTATTCATTGTCTGCGCCAAGCAAAATAAAAATTGTGACGTCATAATCATTAGGGACAATGACGTTACGTCATGAACTGAAAATGGCGAAACAAAATGGCTACCTCCTTTTAATCTTCTCTGCCACATTTGAACTTTAGAAGATGTCGTAGTGTAGTTTTTCTGAGATATATGATAAAAAAATGTCCTAAATTTTAACTCGTTTGCCAAGGCTTTCAAAAAATATAGCATATTTCTTAAAATAAATATCTCTGAGGGAGGTTTTACCGCAGAAGTCAACAAGTATCAACCACACTTCTTATGATTGAGCTATATGTAAGGGGCTCCATCACAAGGCCATCTCGTTTGATCGTCTTTACCAACGATAACCTTTGACCCTGGGAGCGAGTAATCCGGAAGATTATCCCTGTAGCAGATTATGAACTAAATTATCATCCCTATGTTTGTATCTTATTTAAGATTTATTTAAGATACATACATACGATACATCCCCCAACCCTCCCACAACCCTTTCCTTCCATCCGACCACCACATCCACGGCACTCCAGACAACAGGCTAAGGTTTCCCCTATTACAATGGCTATTTAGCAGACAAACACAATATCAATAGTATGATAACTGTCGCTATCACGCCTGATAACGAGATCCACAATGTTTTACTGTGTACCAGGACTAGGTGACTAAGCTGTATAATAAACAGAGAATTTTATTCAATTTATTAATCAAGTGTCTGGATTTCAGCATGGGAGCCCGCCCTGTTACAGCGCCTCAGGTAGAGCCCAAGTTTCCACAGTCTGGGGGCACTTCCTGTGATGTGTAGTTGTGATTCGTAACAGTTTTAGCTGTAAATGCATACATATCATGTACGGGGAAAATATTACTAACACCTTAGGTATATCCTCTGATAGATAATTCTGACGACCAAATGATTTTAAAACCTGATATTGTTTGTTTTATAATAAAACATTGTGAGGCACTAGAAAGGTAATGACCACTAAATGATTTATATTTTTCTTAAATATTTTATTGTAGACTAAGAGTTATTCTCTCAGTTTGTTTCTCAAAGCCAGTTTACAAACACTTTACATAATGTCAGGATTAGGACAGTCTCAAATAAAGCCTTCATTAAAACCTTATTCAGTACGTCATTATCAAAGAACTATATGAAAAGAGATCTTAACAACTTTCGGTCAAAGGTGTTTCACATTGTATTAGGCTCTTTTATCTGTTAGCGTTAGCCTTTAGTCAGTTAGCGTCAGGATTTACGTTGTCTCTGAGGAATGT